AATGAACCCCCATTTGATTAAGCTGGTGGCAAAAAGCTTTTTTCCGGACTAGGCCTACATCCCTGCGTGGAAAGTTCGTCAAAATAGTGAGAAATTCCCTGTTCAAGTTTGATCCAGTTTTAGAAAATTAACATAGCTGAATAAAACGACCAATAGAATGCGCTGATGTAAGCTATTGATTTCTGTTGAATAGAACTTTTTATTTAAGCCAAACTGAAAACCACATATTTTCAATCATAACCCCATCACAGGTCCGTGAAGTTGGCGTACCCATATTAGCGTATCCACTTTTGATCATTCCAATCGTTAGTTCATCGTTAGTTCTCGATAGTTCCCAAATTTTGTCGTTAGTTCTCAAAAAATAAAAAAGTTATAGCCGATAATAAGTGGGTACGCTAACTTCACACTTCCGGGTTCTAGCGCACGCCGTTTCCTGATGAGAAATGTTTACATCTATATATCAATCGTTAGTTCTTCGTTAGTTCTCGATAGTTCTCCAATATTAACGTTAGTTCTAAAAAAATAAAAAAGTTACGTGGCATACAAAGTGGGTACGCTAACTTCACAGTTATACAATTTCCAGCGGGCACAGTTTTTTGAATAAAAATGCTTATATCTATATACCAATCGTTAGTTCATCGTTAGTTCTCGATAGTTCTCCAATATTAACGTTAGTTCTCAAAAAATAAAAAAGTTACGAGGCATACAAAGTGGGTACGCTAACTTCACAGTTATACAATTTCTAGCGGGCACAGTTTTTTGAATAAAAATGCTTATATCTATATACCAATCGTTAGTTCTTTGTTAGTTCTCGATAGTTTTTCAATATTAACGTTAGTTCTCAAAAAATAAAAAAGTTACGAGGCATACAAAGTGGGTACGCTAACTTCACAATTATACAATTTCCAGCGGGCACAGTTTTTTAAATAAAAATGCTTATATCTATATACCAATCGTTAGTTCTTTGTTAGTTCTCGATAGTTTTTCAATATTGACGTTAGTTCTCAAAAAATAAAAAAGTTACGAGGCATACAAAGTGGGTACGCAAACTTCACAATCATACAATTTCCAGCGGGCACAGTTTTCTGACTATAAATGCTTATATCTATATACCAATCGTTAGTTCTTCGTTAGTTCTCGATTTTTCTCAAAAACGTACCCTCAACTATTCTTTCAAACATTCACAGCATCGTTCTTAAACAGTTTCAAAATACGTTCAAAATTAAAAGTGTTAGGTTATTAATATATACCGAGAATAAATATTGTTATCTTATGATAAATTAGTTATAATAAAATATTGATTAAAATTTAGTTTAATGATTTGAAAAAAAGGGATTTCATTCAAGTTCCATGTCTTTAGCCGGCTCCAGACTGTACCCACGCAAAGTACAGAACAGCAACTCGCCGAATCGCGAGTAGTATGACAGCAAAAGCTCGTGCTCGTGTTTTCCGTTCGTTGCCGGTATTTTTGCACACATCAAAGTGAAGCAAATATTTTTGCCATTCTCGAAACGAACAGTTGGTGGGAAAACAACACATGTGTGTAGACACATGTAGATATAGATATAAGCATTTATAGTCAGAAAACTGTGCCCGCTGGAAATTGTATGATTGTAAAGTTTGCGTTCCCACTTTGTATGCCTCGTAACTTTTTTATTTTTTGAGAACTAACGTTAATATTGGAGAACTATCGAGAACTAACGAAGAACTAACGATTGGTATATAGATATAAGCATTTTTATTCAAAAAAGTGTGCCCGCTGGAAATTGTATGATTGTGAAGTTGGCGTACCCACTTTGTATGCCTCGTAACTTTTTTATTTTTTGAGAACTAACGTTAATATTGGAGAACTATCGAGAACTAACGAAGAACTAACGATTGGTATATAGATATAAGCATTTTTATTTAAAAAACTGTGCCCGCTGGAAATTGTATAATTGTGAAGTTAGCGTACCCACTTTGTATGCCTCGTAACTTTTTTATTTTTTGAGAACTAACGTTAATATTGGAGAACTATCGAGAACTAACGAAGAACTAACGATTGGTATATAGATGTAAGCATTTTTATTCAAAAAAGTGTGCCCGCTGGAAATTCTATAATTGTGAAGTTGGCGTACCCACTTTGTATGCCTCGTAACTTTTTTATTTTTTGAGAACTAACGTTAATATTGGAGAACTATCGAGAACTAACGAAGAACTAACGATTGGTATATAGATGTAAGCATTTTTATTCAAAAAAGTGTGCCCGCTGGAAATTCTACAATTGTGAAGTTGGCGTACCCACTTTGTATGCCTCGTAACTTTTTTATTTTTTGAGAACTAACGTTAATATTGGAGAACTATCGAGAACTAACGAAGAACTAACGATTGATATATAGATGTAAACATTTCTCATCAGGAAACCGCGTGCGCTAGAACCCGGAAGTGTGAAGTTAGCGTACCCACTTATTATCGGCTATAACTTTTTTATTTTTTGAGAACTAACGACAAAATTTGGGAACTATCAAGAACTAACGATGAACTAACGATTGGTATGATCAAAAGTGGATACGCTAATATGGGTACGCCAACTTCACGGACCTCCCCATCACAGAGAGTTTTTATTTACAGTTTACGGCAGAATAATAAAAGAAGAGAATAATCGTAATAACTAATTCGGTTGAGCCACCTCATTGTTTACCTTAGGGTTTAAAAAAGAAGATCTGAAGTGGTGGTATTCCATTTTTCTTTTGCCTTCACTGTAATTTTCCTTCGTATATGTTTTTAATTTCCAATAAAACGTTATTAAATAAAAAGAAAATAAATTACGAGTAATTTATTTTAATGGGTAATATATTTTTAAAACTACTGTTTTTATACATGAATAAATAATCTTTTCCAGGAGTAAGTAGTAATAGTATAAAACTCCTCCCTGGTGTTTAATTAATGAAAATTATTAATTTCTAAATTATTTTATTATTTATTATTATTTATTATATTTATTATTTATTATAAATTATTTCTAAATTTTCATAAAAAACAGTATTTATTCAACATGCATAACCAAGACGTTATATTATTAAAATAAATACTGCCCTAAAACAAAATTAACCACATATAAAATTTATAGAAACAAACTATAGTTGTTCAATTATTTATCAGTTTAACAGCTTAACAATACCAACGTGTTATCGAGTACGAGGTGTAGCTTTTGATGTTTAATTACATAAATAATTTATCATAATTAATTTCAACTAGCAAGGCTCAATAGCAATAAAGGGACCACATCAAAGGCCGTCGGCTCCAGTGACATCTAACTAACTACCTGTTCTGTTTGAAACAGTTGGCGAGGCATACACATTTATACTCCACATACAATTGTATGCAAATTTGTGAAATGTAAATGGAAACTATGTATACTTGTTTTACTGTAATGAGATAAAATTAGCATAATATATTATTGCTAGATAGGAGATTATTTAGAAGTAAAGGATATTATACAGTTTATAGCATACACTCACAATTATTAATGTGTATGCAGTGTTTAAGATAAGATCTCTGAGCACTGCCGGACTTCAATATTTTTTTTGTTATTTCTAAAAAGGTAAACATATTGAAACAGGAATTGCACAGAGTATCACAAACACTACACTTGTTATTCATTATGAATGTATGATATGTTTATAAACCGTGTAATATACATTACTCTTAAGTTAATTATATTATTTAGGATATAATATACTTGCTACTTATCGCATATATCCTTCCTTGAGATTGCATGTCCACATGGGCACAGAAAATCTTGTATTAGATTTAGTTTAAAAATTACATATATACTCCTTTAAAAACAGAATATTTTTTACACAGAATTTACGAAGTCAATTAATGTTTTATCATATAACATATAAGTGTTTGAGTTACTATAAAACGCAGTTTTTCAACATAATAACTAAATAGCTGTTACACAGACCTAAGGGAGGCCTAGTAGGTCAAATTGTTGCCGCTGCTTTTCCATTTGCATGTTATTGAAGCGGTTTCTTCCCCTTTCACCTTTATTTAACTTTCCTTTAGCTTTATTTCCTTGGGGTTTATCTTTATTATACCCAAAATCCACTATTTAAAAGTATTTTCCTTCAGAGAACTATGGCTCTTTAAACTTTATAAAGGCATATTATGGATAGTATTTTCATGGCTTAGTTTCAAACGAAATGAACCTTACGTCAAACCATTAATTGACTCACTATCAACAACTATAACGGATTTTTATAACTAGTAATAACTTAGGCCAATTACAATCATACAATCATGTAAGAAATTTAAGTTATTTAAACAAATAATTTTATATTGAATATTACAAATGTTACCAAATAACCTTTTCTTTATTTGCCGATATTCTGCGCATTTCAGTCAAACAAAAAAGTAATACAAAAGAGACTAAAATAGTAGTTTTATTCTGCTTTCATATTCTCATAAAAGTATAAATGTATTATGAAACCGTCGTGTTGGAAAATCATATTTAATTGACACCGTTCCTTGATATTGTGAACTGAAGTAATATAGGAGTTATTATGGTTAATAAACAAGTTAATTATGTCTTCCATGTACCCTACTACTTGCTTCTATTAGCAGTTTGTTATTATTGTCGTTTATAATATTGAAATTAGTAACAATCGCTGTTTCTTTTTCAATTGTTACCTACACTTATTGGCATCTTATATTTAACCTAGAAATATTTACACAAGAACGTTTTCCAATGGTACTTTTTATGGTTTTAGAAGAAAAATGTAGTAAATATTGAATGGTTTTAGAATATGAATAGTTCTATTTCACACGTAAATTACTTTATGTACTTAATTGATGTACAGTATTTTCTATTGATGTCTAATTATTATGATTGCCGACACTGCTTACTTATTGTAACCACTGTATAAATTAGTTGTGTGTGCGATACGATAAAATTAAGTAACCATGCGATTAAATGCCAATTTATTTAAAAATTAATCGACATACATCTGTTTCAGCCGCCTATTGTGGTCCTCAACGTGGTAGTGTTGGAAGCAGAAGGCCTGGAAGCTAAAGATGCGAATGGTAAGTTGGAAAATTATAGTTTACTATTATTATTTAAACGCTTTGCATATTTGTATAGCCTCAGTAATATAAGGCCGTGCCAGACAAAATTGGCAACACCACAAAACCGGCCTATCGAAACAGCTGATGCATTATATTCATAATGGAGCGTCTGCGCAATGTTTACGTTTTCCCGGCCGGGCGCACACGATGCGGCACGGCACGACGTTTTGTCTTAAGGCGCCTTATGCGACCAGATTTCTATTATTTCAAATGGGGGTGCCACACACATCATCGGGCACGGCAAGGCAAGGCAAAACAGCGCCGTACGGCGCTTTGTTCTGCCTTTTCAATTTTCGTCTTTCGGGCAAAAGGCTTGAGGCAAAACGATGTGCGCATGCGCGAGGATCGACACCACGTTCAGCGCAGTGACAGCCCCTGTCAAAATCACTTCCAACGATTAGTAATTATGATTTTTTTCGGATCTGCGCTTAGTTCTGCAATGAATGGTTTCAAGTCCTTTTTTGGTTGATGGGATGCACCAACGATTCTCTGTTAGGGAGATCATCCATTACATTCATTAGGTACCATCATTGACTATACAAACACAACAGTCAATGGTACCATATAGCAGCGATGGCAGCAGCCTCTTCTTCGCCTTCTGCATCCATTCTCACAAAATGTGTAGTACAAAGTGTCACAAAATGTACAAACAACCTCATAACACACAGTATCTCACTTTACTGAAACCATGGGATCGACCATGTGGGTGCTCAAGTCGCCTTGCCGTGCCATGCCGTATGCATCTCAAATCTCCATCGGGCACGGCAAGGCGAGGCAAAGACGTCTCGCCTCGCCTTGCCGTGCCGTGCTATATCAGGTGTGCGGCCGGCCTACGCCAGCATGTCGCCAGCCGGTGCGACGTTGCCACACACAACGTCGCAGACTTTAATAGACGGGGTTCAGCTATTTTATATATACACTGTATACATTCGTCTTATTTTCCCCGTTTAAGCCGATGGTTTTGCAATGAAACTAATTAAAAAAAAGGCACTTAAGAGGCAGGACACAGTGGTAAACGAATTAAATTAATTTTATTCATAATTCTCAATTCAAACCGATGAACAAATCACTATAAACCTTTTAAATCATGTTAGCTAAGAATTTTTCTGGATTTTGGTAATTAAACTGTATGCAGCGATATTCTAACGTCATAGTTACGTAGTGAATTCATTGAAATATACCTTTAAAATTAACGTTAATAAAACCAAGGTAAGGTAATTAAGAAAAGTGGATTTCAATGTTGGCGCCATCACGTTTTTGTAAACTATTATCTTAAGTGGATGAATCCCTCAGAGGTTTAAAATATTGATTTGGTTTAACACAAGTTTTCGAAAGTTAAGTGTACTTTATTTGTTTTATTTTATTTTCAAAGTGTTTTAATAGCAGACTAGCATAATAGATTAAGTTAAAAAATAAATCGCAAATAATGGTATTTATATACTTGCAATTTTTATGTGTCATTTTTTAAAGATTCTATTGTGTTTTAAAATGTAACCAAGCAAAGGCAGATCCACTAAAGCTTTTTGAGTTATACCAAAAAATTCTAATACCTCACCAAATATTTCCAAAAAGTTTTGAATGCTTTTAAAATCTAATTATCCATTTGCTCCTCATATTAACGAGATGTTGAACCCTTGTGCTATGTATACATACAAATAAACTTAGGATTTTATATACCTCCGTTTACTTTATGTACTCAATACTTTAACCTACAAGAAATACTCTCAAGGCTAATTTTACCAGTTTTATTTTAAAACAAAACATTTTAAGTTTAATATAGTCACAGTCATAAAAGCATCACACCACCGCGATGTAGCTTACGTATGCAGGTTTGTCAACATCATCGGCTGACAATATTGCAGAGTATTGTGTGTTCTGGCGAACAGTGTGGAATGTTGAACAAGGAATTATGCAACCCCAACATCCTGCAATAGTGTAGGCTGCATAATATTATGCAGCCTAAAAATTGTATATACAATTTGTGATTTTATTTAGCTGGGTTTCTACACAACGATCATATACAGGGTTAGTAAAAAGTGTGGAGACCCCCTGTTATTTTTTTAACGGCCCATACTAGAAAAACTAAACTCAGCACATCATTATGGCATGTTATGAAGTACTTTTTGGGCATAACCGCCACTTGGTGTTCATCCCCAAAATGGGGGATTTTGGGGGAAACTCAAAAATATTAAATTATAAGCCCCATCGAGTGACCCCTCATTTTGAAGGTCATGATAAAAGAAAACTAACAACGCAAACTATAGGTCTCTATCTTAACACAGTAAAATATGGCAGCCGATTGAATATAAAATTACAAGCTATTACCGATTTCTAAAGATTTCAATCAGCTTCCATTTTTTACTCGATTGAGATAGAAACCTCTAGTTTGCGTTGTTAGTTTTCTTTTACCAGGACCTTTAAAATGAGGGGTCACTTGATGGGGCTTATCATTTAAAACTTTTAAATCTCCTTCCAAATCCCCCATTTTGGGTTTGGTAAGCAAGTGGATATTAGGCTTAAAAAGTACTTTATAACATGCCAAAAAGGTATGTAGAGTTTAGTTTTCCTAGTGTGAGCCACTACAAAATTTACATGGGGTCTCCAGACTTGGAAAACTGTAAGTTAAATTTAACTTCTGAGAATTTCAATTGGCTGCCATTTTTTACTGGATCGAGAAAAAGACCTCTAGTTTGCGTTGTTGGTCTTCTTTTACCAGTGACTCGATGGGTCTTTGTATTTGAAATTTTTCAGTTTCCCCCAAAATCCCCATTTTGGGGATGTACACCAAGTGACGGTTATGCCCAAAAAGTACTTCATAAGATGTCATAAAGATGTGCCGAGTATAGTTTTTCTAGTATGGGCCGTTAAAAAAATAACAGGGGGTCTCCACACTTTTTACTAACCCTGTATAAAGGAATGTAATCAATTTTTAAATTTTTATGCTTTGTAATTTAGTCGTTTATGCCATGGAAATAACTTATAATATATTCCTACAGGAAGGGGAGTTTGATGTGTTTTAGTACATTATTTTTTATTTAGTACCTTTTTATGCCAATGGCATTTTTAACATTTTTGAAAGGGTTTCAACCCTGGTCTTGTATCTGTAAACAGTTTTGTTAGATAGCACGATTAATTCATAAATCAATGGCAAATGGCATCTTTGTCTGAAAACTACCTCGCTTGGAATCGAACTTGGGACCCTCAGATTTTAAGGCAAACACTCTAACAACTCGGCTACCCCAGACATTATAAGATTTGCGAATCTTACAAGTGCTCTCCTAGTTGATTTCAAAAGTTTCGCTTGGTAACAGTCGGAAAATCACATATATTTCTTAGTTGTCTTATAATTAATTAGTAAAACAACTTTTCTATCTGAATTGATAACCCTAATCCTAAGAGTAAATCCTTTTCTAAGTCTTTACATTAAGCTCAGAACGACTGTAATTTTCGTCCAAAAAATGTGTTTTAAACAATTTAGGTTGTAATACGTGTACTGTAGAATGTTCAATTGATAAATAGTTTATAGAGAGAGTATCAAAGATGACTAGATGTGTTTGAGCCATGAGATGTAATTTGATTCGGTATCACGATCAAGTACACAACAACGTCTTTGAACTGTTAGAGCTTTGTTGCGCCCACTTCTCTTGGCACAAGTTTACCGTTTCTCATTAGATGCCGACGCACATGTTTCTGGAATATACTGTAGATAGTTTGTTAAATATTTTGAGAATTTGGTAGTTACATATCTGAAGATACCTTAGAGAATGCTTAGTATAAGTGTTTGAATTATGGTTAATTCTTTTCATACAAACATGACCAGGTGAGGTAAAATGAGGTTGGCATCACTGAATTCTTTGACTAAAATAGTTTGGTTACACTGTATTGAGAAACTGCTGTTTCATTGTTGTCGTTGATGTTTGCAGTTCCTCAAAATTTTTAGTTTTGATCTAAAAACACATTTTCTAGAAAGGACAGGGTATAGTAAGGTAAATTAAAAACAGCTGTTTTAGTAAATAGAACTTTTAGAAGATTATTTATTAAAGCTACTCCTCATAAAATAGCTTCAAACCTTGGAGTAAACAGTTCGTAGAAATGGGGATCAGTGAAAAAACTGTACACTCCTGGGAGACCTATTTCAGCGGCAACAATGGAAAACGTAAGACAGTTATGCCTTAGAAGACCAAATTTAACATTGATTTTTCTTAAGTCGTCATAAACATCATGGTGAATCATGGATTATAATCAAGTTCACAAAATATGTACTCTTTCTTTTTTCTCGTAATCAAAACTAATATAACTCCCGAGAAAATATAGGCCATTTGAATTTGTTAGCATTGGCCGTATTATACAATTAAGATGCAACTTATCTGCAAGGTAAGTGTCTAACTATTCTTTTGTATTCTTTAATGTGAAGATATTTTAATCATAGGTAGCAACATAAAAATTAACCATAAAAATAGAGATTTGAATCACTCAACAGGATGGGCAATAACATCACATGCAAGTAGGACATCAGTTAGATGAGGTGTGAATATTTTACTGGAAGAGCGGGGTATGGAATGGAGAGCATGGGTTATGCTGGTAGTCCAGTGTAAATTATACACTATATACAGTAGACGTTGTAGATTCATAGACATAAACCAAAATCGTATTTATGGTTCTCTCCTGATTTCTCTAGAGTTATTTTCAGTGCTGGCGCTATGTGTTCACAGGAATTTACAAAACTGCTTAATAAGCAGATTTTCTATGGAAAAGTAACATATTATATTAATTCAAACTTTCGTTTTCACACTTAAGTGGCTTCAAATTATGCGATTATAACCCTTAATAGTAGATGCATTTAAAGGACGGCGCATCTACTTCACCTACTGAACCACTGTGATTCACAATGGTGGTACTGTTACCTATGGCTTAAGGTTTACGATATGAAAATTAAAAATAAAACCCACTAAATACAT